TTGTTCAGATGATTCATTCGGATTCACCCTTGTTCAGAGGATTCACCAATGTTCAGAGGATTCATTCGGATTCACCCTTGTTCAGAGGATTCATTCGGATTCATCCTTGTTCAGAGGATTCATTCGGATTCATCCTTGTTCAGAGGGTTCAATCAGATTCACCCTTGTTCAGTGGATTCATTCGGATTCACCCTTGCTCAGAAGATTCATTCAGATTCACCCTTGTTCAAAGGATTTACCCTTGCTCAGAGGATTCATTCGGATTCACCCTTGTTCAGAGGATTCATTCGGATTCACCCTTGTTCAGAGGATTCATTCGGATTCACCCTTGTTCAGAGGATTCATTCGGATTCACCCTTGTTCAAAGGATTTACCCTTGCTCAGAGGATTCATTCGGATTCACCCTTGTTCAAAGGATTTACCTTTGCTCAGAGGATTCATTCGGATTCACCCTTGTTCAGAGGATTCATTCGGATTCACCCTTGTTCAAAGGATTTACCCTTGCTCAGAGGATTCATTCGGATTCACCCTTGTTCAAAGGATTTACCCTTGCTCAGAGGATTCATTCGGATTCACCCTTGTTCAAAGGATTTACCCTTGCTCAGAGGATTCATTCGGATTCACCCTTCTTCAGAGGATTCAATCGGATTCATCCTTGTTCAGTGGATTCATTCGGATTCACCCTTGCTCAGACGATTCATTCAGATTCATCCTTGTTTAGAGGATTCATTCGGATTCACCCTTGTTCAGAGGATTCATTCGGATTCACCCTTGTTCAGAGAATTCATTCGGATTCACCCTTGTTCAGAGGATTCATTCGGATTCACCCTTGTTCACAGGATTCATTCGGATTCACCCTTGTTCAGTGGATTCATTCGGATTCATCCTTACCTGTTACAACAGGAAAAACAATTAACAGTATTCACAAATACGTTTTTTATTCATCTCTAGTATTTGCGCAGAATAGACTTGCCAATGACTTATTTATTCTTTGTAAAAGATATAGCCATTATTTTGAATTAAATATGAACGATATTAATTTTTACTATTCCATCAAATAATATATGCAACATTCAGCAAATACATCTGAGATTATCTGCTAAAATTTAATTGAGGATCATTTTCAGAGTATTTGTTTGCCTATATATATAGTAGAGAAACATTCATTGCTTATATTCAAGTGTAAATTATATTCTTTCAAAAGTACAGTTTTTATGTCCTGCATTTTATGTACACTGTAAACTTTTAAATTCTTGTTACCAGAATACAAGAATAGACTTTAGACAGAAATGGCCGCTGAGATCTCATTGAGAGTGAGAGAGTCACATGACTTGTATTTGACCCTCAAATAGCGTTCCATTCTCTCCCAGCATCATGTCTACTGTTCTATTGATCCTTGTAACCATGGTATTTGACACAGAAGACATGAAGACAAAAAAAAACATTTTTTTTTTCCCACTCTCAATGACATCTTGGTTTCGTCTAAGATAGATCAATTGCTGGTAATTTTCTGATATGATTAGAAGTCACAAAAAAATAAATTTGACAAAAATTTTGGAATACCCCGTGTAAGTTTTTCTTTCAAATAAGTGATATTCAGCACCTCAAAGTAGTACAGCCGGATACAAAAATAAACTATCCAAAATTATCTAACATATCAGATAGAAATGTAACTAAATGTATAAGTTTTCAAAAGAATATTTCAGCATTCGGCAGTTTTGTTTTAAATATATACTAGTAATAATAATGCTCATAAAGCGCCCTCTAGAAGTAATATAGCGCCATCTAGTGGTGATACAAATAAAGCACTATATGGTGGTAATATACAACAGAATTGTCATTTTTTTAAATAATAAAGCACCTATTATGATATATATATATATTGTGCAATCATTATTTTTTTCATTCACGCTATGCATTCAGCCCCTTAGTGCATTTATCATTGTCATCAATCACTACACAAGTTCAAGTTCAAGTTCAAGTTCAAGTTGCTTACATCACATTTTTGTGTCGTACACTTAAACCACCACAGTGGTGATCCAAAATTTGCTCAGAAAAAAATGCAAACATCGTTGCCAAACTGCTACATTCTAATAAAAGATAAAACTACGGCAAATCTTCCCAATATGGTAGTGATATGGTAGAAAGCACAATGAAAATACAAACACGAGTAACGGGCAATGTGTATGAAATAAATATGTTAAATGTGTTAATTGGTGCAACATGTTGTGGAAACACGTAAAACAGATAGGGCGCCCTCTGTAAGTGTCAATAAATAATGAGATGTACTGGAAGACTTGTTACTATGGCAACTACTGCAGGGCTACAAGTAGTTTTTCCTCAAAGAGTGCAATAATTAACATAATACCAATTCCGAGTAGAATACCAACATTCTGTAGCAGCAAAGTTAACCACTGCCGTTTCTTCTCGCCATGCATCATTTCTGGTAGCTACAGAGTAAAAAAAAAAAATTTTCGAATTAATATTAAAGCGGGAGGGGTGTCACCTGTGCACATGCGGGAATTGAGTCCCAAGCAATGATAACAATACACGCTAAAACGCAAATGGGTAGACGATTGTTTGTAAACAATGACACGCTATGGCCATCTGACGCATGCGCAGGTGACATCTCCCCTGCTTTAAAACAAAATACGGTGATTTATTTCTAAAATGCAATATATTTTATTTTTACTACTTTTTTTCTCCCTAGACAGACCTCAAATTTTCTTCGAATCATGATTAAACGCAATTTGTGAATTTGTGAATTTTAGGCTGGTTTAAAAGCTACTGTAAAATACTTTATTTTAGCTAAAATTAATTTTCTCTGAATTGATTTTTTTGGGTGTTTTTGGTTTTAATGATTTTTTAAAACTTGAATGTAAAATGTAGGATAATATTAGCTGGGTTTTATCACCGAATCGTTCCTTCAGCGACAATTACTTCCAAGCTAAAATAAACTATTTTACAATAGTTCATTTCATGGCCTCCAAGATCTCGCTGTGAGTGAGAAAGCAATGAGATTTGAGTTTACCCCTTTATCAATGTTTTATTCTCTCCTGTTTTATTCGTCCACCGCTCTAAACACCATGGTTACATACACAGTCAGCTGGCGCACATCTGGTATAATAAAATAAATGCGATATTTACTATATTTACTATATTGTCATCTAAGCGTTAGGCCGTCGCTGATTGGCTGCTGTGCTGGAATGCCAATTTTTAGTTTCAAATACCCCGACTTAGTGTTCTATGTTCTTCGCGTAATTAGGTGTTCGTATGCAAGGGATTTTTCCACACAAAAACGGCGAATTCGGCCGTATTTTGTTATCGGTTGGCTTAATATAACCCCAACGGACCGTATTTTTGTGAAAGATTGGTATTTTTGTCCTGATTTGCAGGAAACTGAAAAACG